GTAATGGGATATTGGTGGGAAGGTTCAGCCCCTACTGCCCTCCCACCAACATCCATCTCTGTCATTGTGGGGCAACATCAGAAAATAGGAGGCATTACTTTCAGTGTAGTCCTCATAAAAATGTATAATATAGCTACTGTATTAAGTAACAAAACTTACTTTAATAATTTTTTTTTGTTACAACATAAAAATGAGACATCGACAAAAGCATAAAACCAGTGGGATATGTGACCCTGTTTTTGTGATAGTAACTCACCAGGCCGATTTGATGGCAGTGGTTGCAATGCTCAGGTGTTCAACTGAGCTTTTTGATGTTGCTTTGCTCCGAATGCTTCATCCTTGGCAGTTGTTGTTCATGGATATACATACTGCCAAAAAGCAGTGACATGAATAAGGTGTGATTGTGAAGTGAGGGGTGTATGTCTTTGCTAAGAGAGGTCTTAGAAAAGTCTGGTCCTGAGGCTTGATCAGATTTTTGAGTTGAATGGTTGAATGTCTGATTGCAACCTGATGCCATGTGTGGCATGCAGGCTGTGAGTTGGACACACCTGTGTTAAGGCTTGCATTTGAGCCAGGAGTGCAGAGAAGTTTAAAAATTATACAGGTCAGGAGAAAGGCAAGTAGATCAAGTTGATGCTTGAAGTTTTAGCCTTTTTTGTTGATTGGGATTTGTTTGTTTTGCTTGTGTATGTGCAGATTGTTGGCACGTGTACAGAGTGGTTTCATACCTTGTCTCACTTCCAAAATTTGTGAATATTACATTTATGCCTCCTGCTTAATAACATGCTGTGTATCAATTCTTTGAATTCATCTCAGCCTGAAAGTTGCAAATGGCATTGCAAGCTGCTGGAGAGGGAGTGCTTGTTGGTGCCTTTAGCCAAAGGTCTTGGTCTAATGAGGGTTTATTCCAGAGGCAGGGATGGCATAAAGTGGTTATTAGGGATGGCTCTGGGGTTGTATCATCAGAAATCAGATATCTGGACTTCATGTGAGCACACCTTGTAAGATTTACTTGAGTTTAAAAAAAAAAAAAAGTCCACAAACATGTAGTGTTTTCTAAAGCATTTATACTTTCTATTACAGGGGAAAATTCTTTATAGAGAGAGTGGTGAGGTGCTGGAACAGCTGCCCAGAGAGGTTGTGGATGCCCCATCCCTGGAGGTGTTCAAGGCCAGGTTGGATGGGGCCCTGGGCAGCCTGGTCTGGTATGAAGTGGGGAGGTTGGTGGCCCTGCGTGTGGCAGGGGGGTTGGAGATTCAGGATCCTTGAGGTCCCTTCCAACCCTGGCCATTCTGTGTGATCTTCATTTTTAACCTGAAGGACTATTTTGCAGTGCAGAGATTTGGTTTTGCTTCATGTCGAGAGTTAGGAGTGAAGGTGTGATCACAGTTCAGTCCAAATCCTCTTTTTCTCAGATTCATGAGCTGTGGCTGTCTGCGTGTTTGTTGGCTTGTTTGTGAGGTTTTTTTTTTTTCTCTTCTCATGTCTGTGAGATTGGATGGCTGCAAATGTGAATAGGTGAGTTCTATTACTCTTCTTTGATTTTACGTTGCATTTTGTTGATGAGCAGTCTTCCAAGTGTAGGTACAGCAGGTGTGCCTCAGAACAGCTCAGAATAAGGATGAGGTGAGAACTAACCTCACAATGAAGGTCTCACTGGGAGTGCATAATGATAAAGGCCCGAATAAAGCAGAAGCTTTATTATGTTAAAATTCAGTCTTCACACTCTGTTCACTCCTTTTGACCTGAGAGCTCATGCTCACTGTCCTGGATCAGATGGAACAGATTTCTGATCTTGGTGTCTGGTACATCTGTCTAAGTGGTGGACTTTGTAATAGTCTTGATCTGGTTTGTTTTTTAGGATTGGAATCTTTCTGAATGTTCCTGGCTTTCCAACTGTTCTGCCTTCAGGGTGTACTCTGGACAAAGTTGTTGAGGCAGACTTGAAAGCTTGGCAGGGGGGCTGTCTTCTCTCCAGATGCTTCTTAAGGATGATTTGTGGGTTATGGACACAGCTGCTGTCTGCTCTGTCTTTCAGTCAGGTATCATGAGCATCTCTAAAGGGTGGGGTTGATGCAAATTCCTGGTCTGTACCTTGTGCTGAAGACTGGTGTTACATAGCAACCACTTCGGAGAATTAATTTCTTGAGGGTATATGTACAGTTCTTTCTTTAGAGCAAGAAACACTTGATTTGCTACAAGTGCAAGGGTCTGTTGCTGCTTGGATTTCTATGAGTGCATGAGTTTTGCATGTGTCTGTGAAACAAGCAGTGCCCTGCATCTGTTGGCTTGTCCTTGCTGAGGTACAGTGCAATAGCAGTAGTGCAACAGATGAGTTTCTTCGGCATATTTGAGTTATTTGAGGACAGTGCATCATTCTTAATGACAAATCTGAGATTCAGCGTTACCTTGCAGAGCAGACAAAAATGTGTATGGGTAAGGAAAAGAGGGGAGACAAAAGTGAGAAGTGAGTTCTATAATCACCGGGAATGACCTCACTGTCTTTGCCAAGATGACTACTTTGATTAGCAGAGAAGAAAACATCCCCAATAAGATGCCAGTTTGACTTCGTTAGGGAAAACTGTCTGCCAATCCCAGAGATCTGACAGATGGCAATGTGACTATTTGTATTGTGCTGGGGTTACTCTTTTAATCAGAGGTGTATTAGTAGACTTGTCAAGTGCGCTTGACTGCGAATGAGACTTGGCTCTCTGAGACTCCCGTCAGTGTTAAGAATCTTTCTGCAACAACCAGCATGAAGTAATGAAAACTAAAATCTCTCTATTACCAGATTATTTTTTTTTTAATGGAAAGAAGTAAGGGTAATCTGCCACAGATGCACGAGGCAGCATGTGTATTTCCTGCTGGGCTGTATTATAAATGGCCAAAAGGTGATGAGCAGGTAAAGGACTTGCTGAAGAGGTTGTAGATCATCCAGGTGTAGTGTGTTGGATTTTTTTTTGCTCATGAGGTTGTAAATTTACTCACGCTTTTCTATGGGGAAGAAGTCAGCACTTGTGAAGAGCAAGAACTAAAGGTGAGTGTGATGGCAGTGCAGCACAGATCAGGAGGTAGTGATTGTGTTGTGTGGCATCTTAAAGGAGTAATGGGACCTTGCTGGTGAATTGGCAAAGGAAGGGATATCTGTGCTCTGCTTCTGACCTAGAAAGCAGTAGTAATGAGAATTAGCTTTTATATCCTGTGGCGCTTGTTCTCTTTGTGCCTTTTCATGGTGTTTGGTTTTTGTGGATTCTGCATGATATTGGCACACACAACCCTGTCATCCAAAACGTGCTTGCTAATAAACTTGAAATAGTTTGGTTTGGAGAATTCTAGAAATTAGGCATTATCTTGTTGCAGTCTTTTGGCATGTGGTGAGCTATGGTGTTGTGTTTGGCAGTGTTCCAGTGGGACGTTTACTAGGGAAGGATAGGGAAAAAAACTGTCCTGCTTGGCAACATAATGTGGTTAACAGGAGAGCAGGTAATAGATCATGCTCTGTAAATGAGTCAGAGGTTGATTTTTTTATTTTAATATGATTCAACAGCTGGCTGCGATGCTTACCTTATGTGGAAGAGATGATGAACAGTATAATATTTGTTTGGTTAGGATAATAAGATCCTTAATAGGATCCAAATACTTCATACCCCCTAAACAGAAATACTTCTTGTTCTGGTGAAGGCAGAGGCAACAGGAATTTAGGAGCCGAATAAGGGAATTAAATTATTGAACATACACACGTGTAGTGGGAAGGTAGTCCTGTACTCACATAAGTCGTGGAGGCAGTGTATGTTTTGCTGGAGGTGGCGTGGATTTTGTGCTTAGCTGATCCAAGCTAGAAGTATGCAAGACTGGTTATTTCGAGTGGCTGAGATAAATGATGATTTTGGATACAAGTTGTTTGTGCTGAGGTTAAATCAACATCTAAAATAAATGCAACTTCTATTTATGGCTGCTTATAATGCGGATGATTTTGAGCAGATATTGTCTGATTTGTGGAAGTTGATTAAAATGAAGGTTAATCAGAAAACTGGAGGGCCAGATTCTGAATTGCTGTCAGCATCTCACTGTATTTTTCCTTGAGTTTATTTTTCTCAAAAGTGAATATTTGTTTTGAGAGTTGAAAGCTGTTTTGCACTTAGATGTCAATTCAGGAGTTCCAGTTCTATAATTCTGTTTGTGGCCAATATATGAACTCTTTGTTGTAGTGCACAGAAGTAATTTTCAAAAATGAACAAAGTTAAGCAATCTTTCCTTTTCTCACCTTAAAATTTTAAGGAGTTTCTTACAATTCAAGGCTAGGTTATACTTACTGGCTAGTATGTATATGTGGAAGTATTGGGGTAAGTGGACTATTTTATGGATGGATTATAAGGCTGGTAAAGCAAGTTCTGATGCAAAAAGTACGAGTGTACCAGAATAAGAGAGCTGTTATTACAGCATTTGGCAAGGAATCATTTGAAAGCTAATGTATGTGGAGACTTCAACCTCTGCCTGGCGGAGCAATTGAAGGTGTCAAAGCTCTGAGTTTAAATTACTGGTTGTCTCTGTTTAGGTTTTTCTTCTCCCTGTTGCCTGCTGCCAGGACGCCTTCTGAATTCTGGCTGTGCTGGCAAGCTGCGTGTTCATGTGCTTTCAGACAGATCCTGAATAATTCTGGGTCACAGAACTTACAGCTTCAAGTGGGAGGATGGTCTTAACTGATTCTTGTTTTCTGTCATTTTGTACCCTTGTGACTACCAAGGAAACTCATTGGATGGAGGTATCTCTGAAAACTGTGTGTGTGTATGCTGTTCTCCAGCCCAGCAGTGTTTGGGTGGAGGCTGTGCTGCACCCAAGATCAACAGGAAGATGCCTTGGGCTGTTGCTGCCCTCGCGAGGCTAAAGCAGGATGTGTCCACTGCTCCGTGGCAGACCTGTAACCAGGGCTAATGGTGCCTGCTCTAAGTGCCTTAGTGTTACTGCCATGCTGATGACCTGCTGTATCCCGTATTTTGTAGGTGAGAATGCTAAAGAAGATGTGCAGGGGAAGAGAAGTCTGAGTGAGAAAGTGTCTCTGTACAGAGGTGACATCACGCTGCTCGAGGTTGATGCCATCGTTAATGCAGGTAGGTGGCTGAATGTTGTCACTGCTTGACAGCCTTTGTTGCAAGGATATCCATGTGACAAACCAACTCTGCAAACTTAAAATTGCAATGGCCTGCTGGAAACTCAGCATGCTTTGTTCCTGATTTCTCTGTATTCCCTCTGTTCATCTTGTGTGCTTTTATTGTGACAACGGTTTATTGTGGAACTTGAGCACCACGGTCACTAAGAAAAAAAATAATGATCTTGTGTCTATTTTTTTTCTTAGCTTCAGTAGCTGAGAGTTCACTCTTGATATTGACAGAACTTTGCACTTCAATACTGAGTTACTGCAGTACATTCCAGTCTGGTTTTTAAATTGAGCCATTTGAGGACTAGATAATGTGGAAATCTTTTAACAGTAAGGTGATAGCAAAAGTGACATACTGTTTTTCATGGTTTGAATGTCTGCTTTCTTGTAGAGAGATTCTATCTTTTAAATTTTTGTCATTATTTGTGGAGCTCTAAATGTTTTAAGACCTTTTCTGCTTCAGTGACTGAAGTGAAGAAATGTGTGTAGCATTTTGCAACAGAAAAGGAAAAAAAAAAAAAGAGAAAAAAACGTATGCAATTGATTTCATCTATTATAATTATCTAATATGGCTACTTGAGAAACACTATGGGAAGGTTTTCCCCCTGCTCCAACCCTCTAAATCTTGGCTTCATTCCCCACCCCCTAAAGGGCATGGTTTGTGTGTCTTTTGTCAGTTTTTCCTTAGTATCTGGTTATGTTGTCATTACTTGTTGGGAATAACAATCCATTTGCAACAGCTAATAGCTGGTGTTATTCATTTACTGGAAGGAAGCCTACTGCACTTTTCCTCTGTAGCAGAGTAAAGCACAGAGATCCCCAAGGTTGTGCTGGGCAGATTGATGTGCTTTCTCACAACAGTAAAAAGGTATATGGAGATGCTGGAGCTTGTGTCTGTAGAGTGTGAGTCCGTGCAGCATGGACTGCCTGTGCACTTGGACTTGTTTGGTGCTTCTTCCTCTCTGCTTAGCACAGTTCTGGAGCTCCCTTGAATCACAGGTTGGAACTGGCTTCAGATTAGTTTTGGAATCGAAATGGTTTGCATTTCTTGACTGAGAGGGGTTTTTTTTTTTTTTTGTGCTTTCTGTTTGGAATGTCAAAAATCCTGCCGTTCAGAAATCATATGTGGATCTGTAGTAAGGATCTGTTTTTTGGCTTCTACAGAACAGCTGAGATACAGAGTGACTGAGAGGTACCTGGAAAAGGGAGATGATACGACATTTAGCTAAAACCATTCTCAGTTATGTACTGCCATGAATATGTTGTTATTGCTGAATAGTTCCTTAAAATGTCCTTGTCAGTGATTGTATTGCAGGCAGGTATTAGTTTAACTTAATGTTTTGCCTCGAGCATCCTGTTAATTTCCTTTCTCCCTTTTTTTTTTTTTTTTTTTTTTTTTTTTAGTCTTCTGTGCAGATGTGTATAAAAACCTTAATTTTAGTCTTATCTTTTTAATTAGTATATTACACTGCCCATTACATGGAACTTGATCTTGGCTCTGAACAAGCTATTTCCTTCTATCTCTGCTTGGTTGTTGCCTCTGTATCTGAAGCATGGGCAGTGGGGTATTAGGAAGGTTTCACAGCTTAAGTAGGCCCAATGTAGCAGTGGTAATGATAAGTGACATTTTCTGAGGCTGGTGGAAAACTAAAAATGTAGGACTTACTCTGCTCACTTTTAGGTTTCTTCTGAGTTTGGGTCTCTGTGCAGAGACTAGCTAATCCAAAATAAAGAAATAAGCAGCAAAAGTGTCCCTAAGACTTGAGGATAAACTGGGGGTTACTTGTAGTATCAGCTAAGGAGTCTATTTTCTGGGCTCCCCTGTCAAAATAGACAGGGATCTCCTAGAAGGAGCGCAGCAGAGGGCTACAAAGATGATAAAGGGCCCAGAGCATCTCCCTTGTGAGGAAGGGCTGAGAGACCTGGGGCTGTGCAGCCTGGGGAAATGAAGACCAAGGGGGAATCTGATGAATGTTTGGCAATATCTAAAGGGAGACGGGAGGGAAATGGATGAAGCCAGGCTCTTGTGAGTGGTGTGTAGCAAATAGGACAAGGAGGAATGGCCTAAAACTTGAACACAGGAAGCTTCACACTAATGTGTAGCACTTCTATACGGTAAGGGTGGCAGAGCACTGGAGCAGGCTGCCCAGAGAGGTGGTGGAGTCTCCATCTGTGGAGATATACAAGACCCATCTGAATGCCTACCTGTGTGAGCTGTTGTAGGGAACTGCCTTAGCAGGGAGTTGGACTTGATGGTTTCTGCCCCTGCGATTCTGTTGTTTTCTTTTTTTAATGAATATTTGGGGAGGTAATGGTACTTTTGCTATTTATACTATAATGATGTGGTAGATGCTTAATTTGAAGTAGAAACAGGAGCTGCATTTTGAAAGTGGGTGTTTTTATATGTGACCGTGTGGTCGTGTATATTAACTAGCAGTTCATCACTGCTGTCCTCGCATATAAATTCACTTGTTGCCTGTTAAATCTTACTGTCAAGTTGTAAGATAAGATGTATATTAATGTGCTTGTGAATTAGATTTACTAGGAGCAAGATCAAGAGAAAAATATTATAGAGCAAAGGGGGAGGAAAGTATTATTCTTTTTTATTTGATTGGAAAGGGGCATGACTTGCAGAACACTACAAAAGTGTTAATTCTTAGCTTTGAAAAATGTCCTTAGATAGAAGTACAAAAATATGGTACTGAGAAGAAAAATCTTTCATTTCCAGGAAAGAAGAACATCCTTTCTCTATTCAAGCTGATTTCTGTTAATAAGTCTATAGTATTATTTGTATGTTAGCCACTAGCCCATTGCCTACAGTTAGAGCAATGAGGTCACTCCATTCGGTGCCTGAGCACTGGAGTTTTCCCTAACTCTCCCAAATCTGGTGGAAAAGCTGTTGCCTCTTAAAGGGAATGTTGTTTCCCATTGTGAAAAAAGAAATGGTACGCAAAAATCTTACTCTGATAAAAGCAAGAAGAGTTAGTAAAACAAAACAAAAAAACCCCAACAAACTGAACAACTTATATCCCTTTTCTGGTAGGAAAGCAGACCAGGAAGCAACTTACATCTGAGGCTTTTGGAAAATTTAGGGTTTGAAACACTTGTCCTGCTGTTCATCCTTGTCCTGGCACTGGAGATACGTTGAACTGGGAAATTCTCATTGTCCTTCTAAATCTCAACTCTTCCTATAGGAAGATGCCTTTCTTCCCTTGAGCTTTTGCCTTCAGAACCACGTTTAAATATTTTACTCTAGCACTAATTTTATTTCTTAATTTTCTTTACCAGATTTTCTTCTGAACTCTTGACCTTAAGGTATAATTTGATCATTTAATTTTAAGGCATCACTTTTCTCTCCTGTCTCAAATTATGCGTCAAGGTAGAAGTAACACACATAGAAGGTGTGGACCGAATGCGTTACTGCTGAGCTATGCTTAAGCCAATGTGTAGTTACATCAGTGGCTGAACCGTGCCATCCCACATAACAGCTCATTAATGTGCAATCAGTTGCTGCAGTTGCCTTGAACTTGGTGCTTAATGAACAGGTGGGGAAAAAAAAGGAAGGTTTCAAATCTGGAACAGATCTGACACCAGGTAATTTCACTGATTGCTAATCCGTTTCATTTGCCAACTTCATTTATCAAGCAAAATTTTCATCTTGCAGCTTCTGAAGTAGAAATTACTTCAGCAGTGGCCTGTCTGAATGTTGTGAGGGTGTTTGAATCTGATGCTGGCCTTGTGGGAGCATCACATGTACGCTCATTCCCTATATGTTACTTTTAGGATTTTTGCATGGAATATTCGTATTTATCAGCACTAATTTTTCAACTGAGCTAAACAAATAAATATTTACAACAGAAGCTTCTTAGTGAGTCTGATTCTAGCAGTATGGTTTTAAAGCACATTTTGTTTTATCTACAATATTCTGATAGGAGAACTGAAAACTTGAAAGCACGAAGTCAGCTGGCATCTGCCTATGTGTCTTGCACTTCTGTTATTTCCTCAAGGGAATAGAACCAGTAATGCTTACAAAATGTTAATTTTCATTTCTAGCATGAGCAAGCTGAGGTGTTAATCAAAGGTTTCTCAGGTTAAATTAGGTGGTGCAATTATACTTATGTATATAATCCCAGATTAATTTGTATGTATTTCCCATTTATTCAACAGAAAAGTCAACATTCATCATTACTGGAATCGGTCATTCTCAATAATCCTGATATCTGTGAATAAGTTAATCACTGCTTTCTGTGACAAATGTGCTGAATTTGTCAGGTGAGCAGGACATGGTAAACTTCTCATCTGCTTTTGTTTCATCTGATATTACTGTAGTTCTTCCCTTTACTATTGTACTTAGATGGAAAACTAAAAATGTGTCCAAAGTAACAGTGATCAAGGGAATGTAACCAAAGAAAAGTACTTCTAGATGTGCAATTTCATTGAGTTGGATTACTGTAGCTGCTCTCTTGGTCAAACAGCTTTTGCTCTCAGGATGTGACAAAAGCTTAATGTTGGGGAGACTGACTCAGAAATGACTGCAACAGATAGGGTCACTGGACTGCTTGAGGTTGAAGGGAATGAGTTGCATACAGTTTAAAAAAAAAAAAAAAAAAGTGTAGTTTTCTCTAGGAAATTACTAGTGTAATAGTTGAGTGCTGGCTGATTTGCTGTATCAGTGTTTTGATAGTGATGCTCGCATGGCAGAAAATGTAAAGAAAGCAGGCACTTGAATATCTTGCCTTCATGTACCTCAGTGTTGTATCCTGGCTGTCACCAAAAGTCCATTGAAACTTCGTTTTCAGAAAGGAGAGCTTCAATGTGGAGTATGCATTTGGTTGGTTGATTTTTGTATTGGCTTTGTATGTCAGGTGTGCTACTCACCTGATCACTCTGAAAACCTGACTGCATGGCAGTGCATTTAAATCGGAAATGCGTGATGCTAAGAAAATTCTCATC